TCGAACGAAGCTCGTCGGCACATGAACACGCGGGATGGGCCCAGCGAGGCAGGCGGGTGGATTCCGCTCAGGACCAAGGAAGACTTTCAAGCAACCATGCCTAAGGGTGTATTGACGGGCGAGTTCCCTGGTTGGGAGGGGTGGTGGATGCAAAAAGGAGCTGGGTGGGTTCATGCTCGCAAGAGTATGGAGAGCGCCGCTCGGGAAGCTGCTCGTCTAGGGGTCAAATTCATTACCGGCGACCAGATAGGCCGTGTATCGAGTTTGATCTATGATTCTACCGACATCCGGGGCGCCATCACTGCTGATGGCACTTACCATTATGCAGACAGGACAATACTCAGTGCAGGCGCCAGCGCGGCGGCTCTGTTCGACATGAAGGATCAACTTCGGCCCACTGCCTGGACGCTGGCCCACATTAAGATGACCCCAGAGGAAGCCAAGTTGTACAAAAACCTTCCGGTATTGTTCAATATCGAGCGAGGTTTCTTCATGGAGCCCGACGAGGACAATCACGAACTGAAGATGTGTGACGAACACCCTGGGTATTGCAACTGGATCTCCGACGCAGCTGCGCCAGATGCTGGTCAGATCAGCTCCCCCTTCGCAAAGAACCAGATTCCGATTGAAAGCGAAGCGCGCTGCCGGGAATTCTTGCGCGAGACCATGCCTCACCTGGCAGACCGACCTTTCTCTTTTGCGCGGATATGCTGGTGCGCAGACACGCCCAACCGGGCATTCCTAATTTCAAAGCACCCAGATTACGCCTCCTTAGTGCTGGGTGTGGGTGGCTCTGGACATGGATTTTGCCATATCCCCGCAATTGGAGGCTTTATTGTTGATGCTATGGAGGATAAACTGGACGATAAGCTGAAACAGAGCTTTCGATGGAGACCAGAGACAGCCCGGGGTAGGGATTGGAAAGACCTGCAGGGTCGGTTTGGTCCGCAGGGCGCCAATCGGGTGATGGATTTTCAGGATATCAAGCAATGGACAAACATTGGCGAGGATCAAGAGTGAATGGACGGTCGAAATATATAAAACTTCGAGTAAGCACCCAATCCCTGAGGGCAACTGATCGACCTTATCATGTACGCCAGAGACACTTCCCCCTTTGGTGGCTGTTGAACCCTTCACTTCGTCACCAGGATAACCTGACAAGCTAAAGAGACCCTGCCACTTAATGTGCCTGGCACCGAGCAAGCAAACCGAGAATCTCGGTTAGAATCTCGGTTCCAGCTTCAAAGCACCCATGAGACCTGGGCTCAACTTGGCACATCTAGCTCTCGGTCATGTAAATTTTTGGCGATAGTGCTGCTGTCCATCAGCATATTAACACGTTATTCAGCGCATTGCCAAGCCAGGTCGAGCAAAGTCCAAAGCAACAAAGGGGGCCCCCGCTCGCCCAGTAGCAAGTGTGGATGGACAAGCTGGCAAGCTCGTCAAGCATGGCTTGCTTGTCGCCTCCCCACAACCTCTTGGTCAAAAGGTTCTTTTGCCATATTGGGAATGGCATCTATCTTCCCCAGGTTGTGGAGGTGGGGCACTCAGCCAGTCACACATCAGACCATATTCGACCCCCAGTCAGAGTCCGTGCACCTCCGCCTTTCTGGCGAAGCCTAGAACGTGGCGAGTGGTACGACCCTGTGAAGTGTGCACCTCGTGAACGCTGTGACACGCTGTGCAGCGCCAAACTATCCTGAAAAGGCTCAAGATTACGACCTTCCCACCCTCTTCTCCCCCTCCTCAATTGTATTTGCCCGAGTCAGACGCACTCCCACCCTCGCTAAAAGGTGTGAGGAGGATTCTGGGCTGGTACAGGTACATAAAGGTCGCGAGTCTTCGAGTCAGTCAGCTTGACGCATTGTCACCTCCCTCTTTCTTATAGTCCTCACGGTGGACAGTGGATAGTTCCCCGTCCAACTCTTCTACCTCCAGACGACTTTGTCGCATCGAACATTTTCGCCTTCACGTCACAACAGAAATCGACCATGGAGGACGACAAGACCCCTCAGCCCAGTGGGAATGAAGGCAGAGGATCTTCCTCGCCGTCGGAGAAGGAGACGGGCGCGCACATCGAGCAAGTCCGCACTTTCGAACGCGTCGAGGGCCATCCCGGCTACTATGAGAAGGACGGCCTGCGAACCTATGGCGACGACCAGGACCATGATCACGAGCCTCCAGTAAGTCCTTTTTTCCCTTTTGCCGTTCTGTGCACCACCGCCCGCATTTGTGAGCCTCCCACCTTTACTGATATGCGGCCAACAGTGGACGACAAAAAGGATCATGAGTCTCGTGGCCATGGCGTTTCTCTGGACCGGCTCTCAGATCCCGGCCTATCTGCTTGGCGGTATTCCCCCTCTGATCTACTCGGAGATCGGAGGCTATGACAGATGGGTCTGGTTCGTGCTGGCATACCTCCTCTCGTTGGCATCCATTTGCCCTTTTGTGGGCTCCTTGTCCGACCTGATCGGGCGCCGATATGTCGCGCTCTTGGGCTCGGGGCTTCTCGTCATCGCCATGATTGTTGCTGGCACCGCACAGGGTATGAATCAGTTCATTGGTAAGGACTAACCCCGCGTTCGCCTACACTTTCCAAGGGCAATGCGCGACTGACTGATTGAATAGGTGGCATGGGCATCTCTGGCGTGGGCGCCGGTATTTGCGAACTAACGTGCCTCGCTGGTACGTCGGAACTGGCGCCTACACGTAAACGTGGCATCTACGTCGCAGCCTTGGTCCTCACGATTATCCCATTCTGCCCTTCGGCTCTATACGCCTGGCTCATTGCCGGCTATTCGAGCTGGAGATGGTGCGCGTTCATCTCGGGCGTCTGGGCCTTGATCGGAGCTGTCGGCGTCCTGGCATTCTACTTCCCGCCACCGCGGCCCAATTCTCGCGGCTTGACCAAGAAACAGATCATCGACGAGATCGACTTTGTCGGCGGCTTCCTCAGCATCTCAGGCATGATCATCTTCCTCGCCGGTCTGCAGTGGGGAGGATACCAGTACAAATGGGGATCTGCCCACGTCCTAGTCCCACTTATCCTGGGTTTCTTCCTCCTGTTCGTTCTGTTCCCGATCTGGGAGATAAAATACGCCAAATTCCCCATGTTTCCTTCTCGCATGAAGAAAGATGCGCGGGTGCTGTCTTTGACCCTGGTGATTACTGCCATATCGGGTGCAAATTTCTTCTCAATCTTGATGTTTTGGCCCACGCAGGCCTTCAATGTGTACGGCCACGATCCCGTTGGTATGATATCCCCAAAGCTCAATCCATTATTCGAGTGCCCCGGGCTAACTCTAGCCAGGTGTCGGAGTCAGAACTCTTCCGATCGGCTTCTCCATCCTCGGAGGTTGCTGCATCATCTTGGTTCTCCTGTCACTTTTCGGCGGACACATCCGTGAGCTGCTCATGGCGTCCTCGATCTTGATGACTGCGGGCTGTGGCGCGCTTGCAGCTGCCGACCTCGACAATATCCATGCAGTCTACGGCATCCTTGTCGTCGCAGGTCTCGGAATTGGAGGAATTGTTGTCCCCGCTTCCATCATCACGACCATCATTTGCCCGGACGACATTATCGCCACAGTCACGGCGCTAACGCTGTCGATTCGTGTGATTGGCGGCTGCATCGGGTATACGACCTACTACAACGTCTTCGTCAACAAGTTCAAGGTCAAGATTGTCGAATACCTCGGAGGAGTCATGGTCGGTCAACTTGGAATCACCAACGAGACGTACATTGTGAACGCCATCACAATCACCGGTCTCTCCCTCCTAGACGAACTCAAACAGATCCCCGGCATTGCTGGCAACGACACGGCTTACCAGATGGTGGTGACTGCCGGACAAGTGGCCTACGCCGAGAGCTACCGCTGGGTGTATCTGGTGTCGATCGCCTTTGGAGGGGTCGCCATCATCTGCTCTGCGTTCCTGGGCAACATTGAAAAGTACATGGACGACCACGTGGCTGTTGTCATCTAGTGGTGGCAGAGAATGCAGTTCCTGAGGGGAGCATGAGCATGATAGGAGAGGGTGCTTGTGTAGTAGTAACGTAAATAGTTTCGACATGGGCAGTTGTTGACCGGGAAGATCGTACACGAGTCCTGTCGGTCACGACATCTCGCCCCGATCTTATGCCTCGTGTTCTCCAGAATGAAATCGTACCATTTCAAGTCGTAAAATTTCACTCACCGTTCCTCGTTGCTCCTGTCGAGAAAAGGGGATCTACATGACTGTGAAGCAAAGAGTCGTGCTCGGTTTTTAGGCATCCAAGGTAGATAGATAGAAAGTCTAGACAATGCCGGATGATAAGGATCTCCACGATGTGGTATTGCTGCTCCCTCCCCAGTCTGGAGGTTTGGTAGGGAATGGCAAAGTTGACCAGCAACAAAGGGGGGTCAGTGCCTGATCACCGCTGAGAAAAGCGGTCACGTGGCAATCCTCATAGTATGTACGGCGGAGTATTCAGTGATGACATACTGACTACGGTTGAGCAAACAGGCGACTTTCTTTCCCCTTCGATCCTCTCTAGCCATTACAATGCATTCTCATAGAGCCCCAGTGGTTGGGACTAGTGATATGCAGACAAGATCATCGCAGCAGTAAAGTAAGGATACTGTCCCTTCTGTGCTTTCCCTGTCATTGCACCGAAGTCTCTCAACCCTTTGTCTTCTCGCTAGCTCGCACGCAAAGCCTACAGCACACTTTCGGATCACTACACGCCATGATCGAGGTTGTCATAGATATATGGCTGTCAAATGGTAGGCACTAACATGGAAACTGACCAATGGATCATGGCCGCGTCCTCTGAACAGCAGATCCTCCACATTCCAGACTGACAGTTTTGATCCCTTGCGGCGAAGCTCCCCAATCTCCCACATTCCAGTCATGGCTGTCAGCGCCCTTGTGCAAACAGCACCCGCGAAACTCGCCTTCTCCACCATGTTTCGGACTGCTGCGAGGTGAGTGATCAATAGACAACGAACGAAACACGAAAGATGTGGCCCTTATGGCTAATCATAGTGATTGCGGTGGTGGGCGCGGCAATTCTCACCTGTACAGGGATCTTGCTTGCAATCACGCTGGAGCGACGCCGACATCGCCACATCATGAGAGCCCACGGATTGACCAGAGGTCTCAGCAAATATCATCGTCCAAAGCTCAGTGCCTCCGAGCACAACTACTCTCACGTTACACATCCGACGACAGCTTTGAGGCGAAGCGTGCAGCTCCCTTTCGGAATCATATCTATCGCGGGCGACAGTGCTAGCGAAGATGAACAGACGCGACTAGACGCGACGACCGGTCATGTCGACGACTTTGTCGAAGTTCTGCGCCCTCGAGGCAAAAGAAGCATCCGACGGCCTTTTACTGGTCAGCCGCTCTATATTCCAAAGACGCGAAAACAGGGAAAGCTAAGGAAGGCTGTACCGTTGGATCACATCCAAAAATCCCCTCTCTCGGCTATCACCGAGTTCAGTGATCCCTCGACAGGCGTGTCACCAATGGTGCCCGAATTTCCATCAGAACCAACGGAAATTACCACAAACGATAAGAGTGAGGCTGAATCAGAATTTGATAACTCCGCTGAATGGCCTTTGAGCGCTGCAAGCACGAGAGCCTCCGATATCATCCCCACAGAAATCACGTCGATAGCAGTACGAGACAGCGTTCTCATGAGGAAAAGGGCAGCAAAATACAGTCAGACGGCTGCTGTTCCTCGCTCAGCAAGTGCAGCCAGTATGGCTTCTTTGCCACCCGACGAACCCTTGCCACCTTTGCCGACAATTCAGGTCCCAAGGAATCTCAAGGCAAGAGTCTCAGATGCCAGTTTGGACACAGTTGGTAGCTCAGTCTTGGGGGCCTTTATGAGTTCGCCTGCGAATAATAATATCGAGCGCAACACTTCAAAACTCGATTCGAACCAACATACTCCTACGATGAGGCTGGGATACGAGCGTAAGTTCTCGACTCCTACACTCCAAGCGCCGCCTGTGAAACAGACCATACATGGTCTTTGTGCTGGCCAGCCCAGCATTCGATCCCTTCATCCGACCGTCGACACAGACAACCTAAGCCCGGGCAGTACCAATATCCCGTCAAATCCCACACCATACCCAACAATCATTGTTCAAGAGGAATCTTTCAAGGTCATCGATGCGAGTGGCTGGGATCTACCGCCACTCAAAGTTGCCAAAACAAGGCTTCCGTCGGACAAGCCTAGTCGACATTCGATGATAGAACAGTCGAGAGTCGCCCAATGCCGAGCGATCAGTGACTCCGCCACAAGCCTGCTCGCTGATGAGGATGTATTTTCTGTGCTGGAGGGTCCCAAAAGACCCAATTCGGTGGCGACCGGCAATCCTTTGAAGTGGGATCGACAAGGTAGCTTTGCAACGAAACGGCACTCTTTGTCTTCTTTAGATGGAGCAAAGCGAGGTCACAAACGGCAGAATTGCGTCCGCATAACTAATCTGCCCTATCTGGATTTGAGATCAAATGGCACCATGCGTTTGCCTGAGCTCAAAGAGGAGCAGCAACAGCTAGCTCACGTCAATAGGATCGAGGCAGATGGATCGTTTCATGGCTTCGACATCAGACAATCTCGACCAATATTCCAGACTGAGCAATCGGATGCATGCACCAGACCAACCACGACTCCTATACCGTCTCCCTTTCGAAACCCACCCATACTGACGCCGACACCTCGCCCCGCGAGAAGGCAGTACATACAACGCCCCGACAGTGCTCTTTCAGGCACACCCAGACCAGATTCCGAGGTCTTCAACTCCAGCCACATGGCTATGCACGTATCAAACCGTCACCACACGTCACCTCATGATTGGCCACTTTCGCCGTGCTCGCGACCCACCGCTCCTTTGAGGAATACGCCACCATCTTGCCGACAGCATGAACGAGTTCCATTTGAATCTCCCACCTTGCCCTCGCCCGCGTTGAAATCAGCCTCTCTTTATCCTCGCAAGTCTCTTGTCAAAGGGCCACGCGACCCTCGAAATTCGACTCCGGGAAACCATGCGGCCTCTGCGAGTCCTCTACAGAACAAGATTGGACCACACGACCGGATTACTCAGGCTCGTGACTTGAGCGAGTCGGGGGATTTTGCGCTTCGGAAATCAGTTATGATGCTACGGAGCATGGACTCTGAGGGTCGTCTGCTCGAGCAGCGGAGTACCAAATCGTCCAACTTTGGCGTAGCCGGATATGAAAGTCCTGAAAGTGTCGCGATTCCTTCTCCGCTGATGAATAAACGTGTCATGGGTCTCCGAAGTACGAGCTGTACATCACCCATTGCAAGCACACCTCGATCTACATCATTGGATAGACAGCAAGTCAATCGCGGCTCCAGTCCGTTGGCTCCGTCGGGCTCGAACTTGAACAGACCTCCCCAAACAAGGGTGGCAGTACGCACCTCATTGCATAGCGACTTCGACCTGACACCACCACTCATTTCCGTGTCGCCATCCGTGATGTCGATTGGCGGTGGTTCAATCTGGGAGGATGTCAGTGTGCGCGGTGAGAGCCCCGAGCCCGAGGTTCATGTGGCTCCGCTGGCCTTGCGGACCAAGACGGATTACAACCAGCAACGGCATCCATCGGCCCCGACACTACAAATTCGGCGTGATGAGGATTTCTTCAGTGCCCGGCGCAACGGACAGTACCTCGTCCCACATGCACCTTTTGTGAGATCTGATGCTGAGAACTCGCATTTGGTCCAACGACTCGAACGGGCTGTGAGCAGCGGTCAATGGAACCACAAGGATAGTTTCGTTCCCGATGATAACCCGTATCTGAACATAGCTCCAGTCCAGTACGATGTATCGGGTCAGCGAGGAACTGGTGTTTTTCAACCTCCAAATCGCCCCAGACAGGAGATCGGGCTGGGCTTACAGCTCGGGGACTCGATGGTGAGGAGTACATAACAGCAGAGGGAGTCTGGTGAAACATACCCCCTCCTCTCTCGATGTTTACTTCCAAAGTCGACCCTTCTCCTCTGAGGATGTCCGATGGTTGTTGAAATGAGCGCGCTTGCTGTTCTGATTCTTGTTGATGTGGGCATGATGGATACAGGGCCTTCCACTGCTTCTCGACAAACATTCTTCCATTGTGTCACTTGTGCTGTTGAATCCTTCTTCCCGTGCCGGGTATTTGAACAGGATAGTTTCCCCCATTTTGCCTTGTTACTTTTCTTCTGCTTCATCTTCTTTACTACTTCTTCTTTCTCATGATTTGATGGTAGCCTGGCGCGGCGGGCTGGGAGGGTCGTGGAGCGAGCGCTCTGTATTGTGGATCCTTAAAGTAGCCACTGCCCCCTTCTATTTTTTTTTCTTTATTTATTTGACGATTTGCACCTTTCGATTCCTACCAGCGCGATGGGTTCTATGTGCTGTTACTTTGATTCGGGGACCGTGAACACAAGCATGGACTTGTGATGAAAAGGGGCCTTTGAATTGAATGCCGGCTTTGACTTATCAGATATAAATGTACTGGCACAGAAATTGAGAGGTTCGATATGATCGGTCTTGAAATACTACAATACCAGGCTACTCGTTTGTCGCCGTGCCTATCTTTGACGCTGAGCTGCACGAGTTCTGTGCTGGGTAGGCAGCATAATGCTAATGGTATTATATTACTTGTCCACTTGCCTGAGTCATGTTGCATGTAACTATTTCTACAGGTATTTGCTATTTCTTTCTAGCTTTCCGCCAGTTCTCTGTCCAAGGGTAATTGCTTTCACTGGGCGAGGCTGTGGGATGAGTGTTCTTATCCTGTGAAGCAAACAAATGAGCGCTTTGAGAGGGCTGATGTGGACGTGATAATTTTTGTACAAGACTCCTGACTGATAGCATCTGACGAACGATTTGATGACCGCTTACCATGTCGACATATGTCGTTGATGACAGCTCTCTCCATACACAACTCAGGACAAGGAGAGAGGAAAAAGTTATACCGTCACGTGGAACCGCGTCGTTAGCGCGACCCTGTGCGGCGCGAAAAGTCGCGTCGTCCATCTTCCCTGCGCACATGCGACCTCAACCAATCCTTCACCTCTCCACGTCGATTATGCGCCGAGGAAAAAGGCTTCAATGCCCTTCAAGTTCAAATACCTCGTACAACTCCTCGAAGAACTCGATACAGCCCAGAAACAAGCACAATCGTCCTCGACGCGCCCTTCGCGGCCTTTGCATGAACTCATCATCCAATGGTTCAGGAGCCACGACTCCGAAATCGTCCGACATGGACCCTCCGCCGTGGCATTCCTGTCTTGCCTGCTGTTGGAGCGAGTGCCACACCTCGTCTACGGCCTGCAGCCCAAATCCCTAGCTCGCGTTTTATCCAAGGCTCTGTTCATTGAGAACACATCCCGTGGTCGGCAGCTACTTGCGTGGGAGGCTACAGGTTTTGATTTTGCTACCTGTCTTGAGAAATGTGTCATGGGCCTGGCCGAGAATGATCCACCGCCTGTCGACAGAGAGGTAACGCTGGAGGAGGTCGATGCTGTTTTGTGCCAGCTTGCTGCCAATTCCAGATTTGCTTCGCCCGAGATGAGGACGCGTAGAGATGGCGCTAGGTCTGAAACCCTTCTGCGATCTATTCTATCGCGGCTCCATAGCAAAGAGGCCAAGTGGTTTGTGAGAATGATTCAGAAGTCCTATGACCCCATCCAGATTCCTGAACACTTGGTCCTGGGGTGCTTCCACTTCTTGCTGCCTGATATTCTCCCATTCCAGAACTCTCTCGTCGAGGCGATCAAAGTCCTAGAGCAGCCCGAATTGGTCTCCATCCCTCATGACCCACCCCGTGCTCTGCAACGAAGGTATCGACAAGAATGCGCCCGACACTTGACCCCCAAACTTGGTGTCATGATCAAGCGCCAAGAGTATGAAAAGGCGAGGAGTATCAGGCACTGCTGTCAGATAGCGAACGCGAGGACGATGAGCGTCGAGCGCAAGTATGACGGCTGGTACTGCCAGGTCCATATCGACAAGTCAAAAGGCAAAGACTGTATACAGCTATTCTCCAAGCGTGGTAAAGACTCGACAAAGCCCTGGATCCGGCTTCACGGAGCACTGGAGGCCGGTCTACGCCTCAGTGAACCGGATTGTGCGATCGCTCAAAACTGTATACTCGAAGGCGAAATGTTGGTCTGGAGTCACTCGCGAAGAACCATTCTGCCATTCGAAAAGATCCGGAAATATATCCAATACAACGGCAGAGCGATAGGCGCAGCTGCCGACTCTCCGAGATCGTCAGACGAACAACTGATGATTATATTCTATGACTGCCTTTGGCACGACAATCAGAACCTTGTCAATCAGCCTCAATATTTGCGGCGCCGTCGATTGGAGCAGATTGTCAGCGTTACCGAAGGTGTTGCCCAGCTCGGCGAGTGTCGGGAGATTAGATTCGGCACGAAAAGCGCCAAAGAAGAACTCCAAAAGTTCTTCGGACATGCAATTGAACAGAGATGGGAGGGGTTCGTGCTGAAAGGCCGCCACGATTCCTACTTCTCAACCCTGTGGAACGCCAATGCGATCAAGTTGAAGAAGGACTATATCAAGGGACTCGGGGACGCGGCTGACCTCTGTATTGTTGGCGGCCGCAGAGACGCGGTGGAGGCAGACAAGCACGGCTGGTCCGTCAACTGGACGACGTTCTATGCCGCTTGCCTCAAGAATAAGGAAGCCGTCCAAAGATTCGGGCTCAAGCCAGAATTCCTGATCATTGACATCCTGACACGTCAGACCATGTCGGAAGAGACGTTTCGGGAGCTGAATCAACGTGGTTTGGGATTCTGCTCGCCCTTTTCTGAATCGACCGAGCACATGAACGTCACCATCGACCAGCCAGATATCGCGCGCCAACCTCCCACAATCTTGTTCACCAAGCCGTTTGTTGTCGAAGTGACTGGAGCCGCCTTTACTAGGCCCGCAGACGTTGCCTACTACACGCTGCGGTTTCCTCGTGACGTCAAGTTGCACTTTGGTCGGCCTTTGACGGATACTCACAGCTTTGAAGAGCTACAGGAGATTGCACGAGAGAGCCTCACTCCTGCGGATCCCGAAGAACAGGAAGAGGTTGATTGGATCAGACGTCTCATTGAAGCTGATGGAAAGCGACATCAGTGCGTCGACCTCCACGCGGGAGGCACACCGAGCCCTTCGCGCTCATCCACTGCCAGCATCAGCATGTGTGGCTCGTCCCCTCCGCCTACCAGCCATGTTCAGACTACAGGTGGACACCCATCGCAATCACCCCTGAGAAGTCGCAATGTTACTGTGATGCGTAACGGCACACTGAGCCCCAAGCTCGCCCGCAGCCATGAATCGTCTCCTCTTGCATTGGCAGCAACCGATGTAGAGAGTGGGGAGCCATCTGCAGGGCCAATACGACCAACGCACGATGCCTTTAGTCTCGAATTGGGGGTTAAACGTAAATATGAAGCTTCTACCTTGGCCATGACGGCCAATAAGCGACCAAGAAATCATATTACCCTGAAGAGGCCTATTATTTCTCTAGAACCCTCTCTTCGAGACCAGATGACTTCTATCCAGCCCCATGAACCTCCAGCAGTATTCCGATCCCAAGGGAAACCCACAGAACTGAGGTCTTCGGCCTCTACTCGGCGCGAACCTCTTGGTGAGCTGAAAAACGTCCGTGCCAAACCGGCGTCAGAGCAGAAAAGTACCACTCCAGCTTGGCCTGTTGATCATGGCGACGAGCTAGATCCTAAGAGGCCCGTCGGGAGGCTTGTGGAGAAGACGAGTCTCGCAGCTCAACAAGCGAGTCCATCCCTGACGCAGCCAGCAGCCTCTGCTCTGGACAGTATCATACTGACGGTCATGTCATCTTCGACGCTTTGTCTCAAGGACGTCAAGTTAGCCAATTGGCTGACGATGGTGTTTATGCAGCTCGTCGACAAGACAAACTCGAAGAGTGTCCGTGACACCATCTACGAAACCACAAAGGCAGTCCTGAAAGAGTATAGAAGACGGCGCAGCGAGGAGAAACAATGGCGGATTGACCACCGTGGGGAAGATGTGGTGCCGACAGTACCGATCCCTCGGCCACGGCGGCAGCAGCAGCAGAGGATGATTCTCTTTTACGACGAGAAGATTCGATCTCAATCTCGACTTCTACCGTCTTTGTCCGATCCGTCGTCGCCGGAACTTCTCAGAGGGGCAGGCGACGTGTTGCGGAGGAAGTCGTCCAAGAGGTATTTCGCCGGGGGATTGCTCTTGACTGTTGACGAGGATACGGACGAGGTCGTGTCCAGAGTCATCTGGCATTGGCACGAATCTGTCCGCCTTATGGACGAGGTGCAGGATGGGTACAGTACAGTTCAGGACAGGGGCGGGACAGGACAGTCGTGAGCGGACAGGAGGCAGGAGATAGGAGACAGTAGGACGTCAGCGGGGATTCCAGGATGTTTAGGAGACGCGGGCTCGTCATCACCAAAGGTAGACATGTTGGCGTGCGGATATGGAGATATGTAAATATTTAGATATGTGGACGTGTAGATATATAGTTCTTTAAACTTATAGGTATGTAGGGATGTAGGTATGTAGTTGTGTAGACATGTGGACACGTAGACATGTCATCAGACCAAACGACCCTTTACCATTATGATGATCACAATGACCAGGATTATCCTCTCTCTGTCCCTCTCTAAAACAACCACGCGACAAAAGTGCGGTAGAACCAGCCGCCTCGCTTCTTGCCCTCGGCGTCCCTCGCGGCCTTTTGGGCCAAAAACTCCTCTTCCTCGCGGTCGATGGCGTCCTTGCCGGTCCACAAATCCGCGTGGGCGGGGATCACGCGGGGACAGCGCGTCCACAGCTTATACCCGACGATCATGATGATGTAGAGCGGGATGCCGAGGTAGCCGGTGATGAAGTTCTTGTAGTCGAAGTCGCCGTAGGTGGAGGGGGAGCGGACGAAGACGGAGAAGTTCTTGGTCAGCGCGATGAGGATGCACATGGCCAGGGCGCCGTAGGAGCCCGGCACGCCCAGCGGCGCGGTGTACGCCAGCGAGGTGACCGGGACGGACTGGGCGCGGCGGGCGCGCACGAAGCAGATGTGCGCGACGAGGATGGAGATCCAGGTCAGCAGGCCGAAGATGGTCGTCAGGTTGACAAAGTACCCAAACACCGTCTTGGAGTCGTCCGACACGTTCATGAACGCCAGCAGCGCAAACGCGGCGGACAGGCCGAGGGCGTAGATGGGCACGCCGCGCGCGTCGGTGCGTTGGAAGAGCCGCGGTGCGTGGCCCTCGCGCGCCAGCCCGTAAAGGGTCCGCGACGCGATGTACAGGTCCGAGTTGGACGCCGAGAAGACGAATAGCAGGATACATCCGTTCAGGATGCCCGGCAGCGCGTTGATGCCCGCCAGTTTGATGGCCACGACGAAAGGCGATGCCGACGCCGATGACGACGCCTTGTTGGCGAACGCGAGCTCCTCGCTGTCGTAGGGGACTAGCATCCCCAGCAGCAGGACGCTGAGGCAGTAGAAGAAGATGATCCGGTAGAAGGTCAGCTTGATGGCGCGTGGGATGGTCTTGCGTGGGTTCTGCGCCTCGCCGACCGTGACGCCCACCAGCTCAGTCCCGAGGTAGGCAAATGTGGCTGTCCCGACGGTCGACCAGAACGCAAGGAATCGTCCCGTGGCGCCGTCGTCGATGTACTCTGCAAACGCGCCGGGGTCGTTCCAATACCGGAACCCCTTGCGGTCATGGTCCGGCCCACCGCCCAGTGCGAGCACGAGAGACAAGATGATGACACCGACGATGACGATGACCTTGATCGTAGAGAGCCAGAACTCGAACTCGCCGAAGAAGCGAATGCCAAAGTAATTGATGCAGACGATCGCAACCCAAAAGACGGCGATGAACACTCCGGGATTGACGCGGTCTCGGTCCACCCAGTACTGGATGATCAGTGCCCCAGCCGTCAATTGATTTGGTGTTACTATGATATATTTGAACCAATACCTGCGCACACGGTGAGCCTTTTTTCCCCCAAAGAAGATGTAGCATGGGAAAGAAACCCACGTGTAACCGAGAGCAAAACCCAAGGCAGGATCACAGAATCGGGCGGCGTAACCGGTGAACCCAGACGACAACGGCAGCCAGGCGGCCATTTCTCCCAGCGCACACATGACAAGGTAGACAAGGAATCCAACAATTGTGTAGGAGATGAAGATCGAGCCAGGGCCCGCTTGTGCCAGGGCTTTGCCAGTTCCGATAATCAGACCAGTCCCTGTAGTCCCAAGGTCAGGCTATACATCATTTTGTTGGTTGGCCTCCGTGTAACCCACCGATAGCGCCACCGATCGCAATCATGGTTATGTGGCGAGCCTTGAGGCCTCGGTGAAGACGCGTGTGGTCTTCATCCTCGACGCCGCGAAGGCCCCGTTGGCTCTCTATGGGCGATATTGTTTCGTCTCTAATTTGCTTCTCTGCCACATCCGCGTCCGGCGACGAAGAGGAAGATCGTTTATGGAAATCCATCTTGTTAAGGCAATCAAACAACGATGAAGGGAATGGAAGGAAACACGACAGGCCAACTGACCTATCTGCTCTTCAGCTTCGCGGAAGGTGAGAGGAGGGCCAGAAGTGAGGAATGATCCAAGGAAGAGAACTCGGTACTTATCTTTTTGACGCAACCTCGCCTGGCAAAACGCGGGCAGACTGATCCCTCTCAGATCCCATGCTGATCAGATGCCGCCTAGAATTGGGCTTGTACTATGTCACATTCTTGCAATGACCAGGGATGAGGCTGTGCCAAGTATCCTGGGCAGACCAAGGATCGGCACTATGGGCGGGATTCCGTACCAGTGGCGTGCGTGACTGGCGTAATCCAAGAGGATTTGCGGGGGTTGAATGGAGTTGGTTCGCTGCGTCGGGGCTCGAGTGATGAGACCCAAGAAATACCAAGACCTCTTGGAAGCCCAAGGAAAGATAAGAAGTGGGAGCTTTTTTGTATTACACTGGGGACCAAGTTGCAGTAAAATAGTAAGAGGGTGACATTGTAGCGGGACTGGCCGAAGAGGTTGACCCATGTCTGAAGCTGGGCGATGCAGGGCCAGCTTTGCACAAATCACAGATCGTAGTATCTCGCCATGTGTACCAAAGAGCTGATCAACCTCGGAGGCGAAAGCTGGTGGAGACAGAAGCGCGGGAGATCTGCGTTGTGATAAAGGGCCTTCAGCAACATCTTTCGGGGTATTGCTGGAGATAGAGATGCGACTTGTAGGGCAGCACTCGGCAGAGGCGTCGTTGTAGTGTCCAGATTCATTCAGTCTGTCTTCTTGTAATCGCTCAACCTGGTACCAACAATAGCGCTGGTATATCTTGAGGAGTTGCCGTGGATAGAGGAACCCTATAAATGCTTTGATATCCCAAGAGCAGCGGCCACCACTCATCAAGCAGCTTGTGGTCATCTGGATACTTTGTGAGATGATGTTGCTGCGTCCTGCAGGACATGCTGATAATATTATTGATTGACTGAGTCGAGTGCGTTGTTGGTGCTGCTCGATAGTTTTATATGACTGGCAAGCACATCCTATAGTCACATGAAATAGGTTCCTGGTGTCCTCATAACATACCTGAATGCGTTTTGCTTTTCCCATGGCCATTCCCTTATTCAAACAGAATTGCTTGCTGGATTTCTATCCCAACCGTTTCAATCTCCCCTGAAAATGTCCCATAACGTTGAAAGCCAGCCACCACCTTCGCCGTCGCCTCCCCCTCCGGTTCCCGCCTCTGGCGCTCCGTCTATAAAAGGTTCCGAATCTTCTAAACCCCAGACGTCCTCACCTTGTTGCTGCTGCTGCGGCGGCGTCTGCGGTGGCTCACCGGAACCACCTTGTGAATCTCGAGGGTCCCAATAAGTATCTTCTGCGCCTGTTTGCTGCCGCCTAGATGCTTCGTCATCGCTTCTGGGTTCGGATCTTTGTCCCAGTCCTCTTTGCATTGCTTCGTAACCTGCCATGGTTCCGGCACCTGCAATCGCGCCCTCGCCCATGCCTGTTGCTCCTGCGGCTGATCCAACTGCTCGGCCAGCTCCACCCACAACAGCGCCGCCGGCTTCAGCAGCACCAACTGCTCCAGCCTCTCCAGCCCCAGCCGCTCCGGCTCCTGCTGCCCCACCGGCCGCCTCTCCACCACCTCCAAACCAGATAGGGAAGAAGCCATGTCCTCCGCTATGACGGGAAAAGTAGTCATAATCAATCGTCACGGCGGTGGCGAGCATCACAGCTCTTTGATCGAGAGTCATCCCATAGGTGCCTTCGTTCCCTCCCAATGCTTCCGCATAGTCACGATCAACCTCCTTGTCGACCGGATGTTCCATCCCAGCGGCGTCCATTCGCAGAACGTAACTTCCAGTATCGGTGAATATTTCCCGCCCGAACCCGCGAAATTCGCGATTGACCGATCCAATCTTACGCTTGTTCTGGTCTAGTAGAGAAAAATCCCAAGATAAGAAGGGCTCGTTGACGGCAGCGAATTGGACGAAGTCTGTGGTCGAACGAGACCTTTTGTTTTCAGCGAGTTGACTCTGTTGCAAGCTGGACAGTCCCTCTGGTCTCCTCTTCGATATGGCATCAGGCCCAGGCTCATTCAGGGCGAGATCATGGGAAAGAAAGAGATCGTATTTCCGGCGCAGTGGAGCCCATTGTGAATGTGTTTCGCCAATTATGCGCATTGACTCCAGCGGTAGAGGAGATATTTGTGGCTGGTCCACAGGGTGCGCATTGTTTTGTGGGATCAGCGCTGTGGACGAGGATCTTGGTGTGTTGGAGTGAGGATCCCAAGGATCGTAGACCCGAATGCGCGTATTGATCCATGAGAATGGGCGATGGAATCTCAACACCTCCCTAGAGTGGCGATCGAAGACATGGGTAGTGAACGCGCGGTGTGTCGTGAAGAACTGCCTCCTCATAGTGTGCCCTATGCCACCATCGTGCTCAGCCATATACCCGATGTGATTCCCATGGGGGTCGAGGATGACATATCGATTGGCTTGCTCGAAGCCGATCAACACATTCATCATTTCAAGTTGCCGTTGGACGACGATGCCGGACTGAGACAGGATGTCGGTGGCGGGGTGGTCAGACCTGAGGATGGCGTTTGCATCTTCTGCTATATGTACAGGGGCGAGGAGAGAATTGTCTTGGGGGCTTGTTTCGGCGAGAAGGTCCTCCATCGACGGAGGTTTGGGAGGAGGATCTCTCTGTGAGGATGAGGGTGTCGAGCCATCTTGGTCTTTCTTTGGGTTGGAGGCTGTGGACGACCGCCGTAGGTTTTCGTGGAGACATCTAGAGACGGTGAGAATTTGCCGCCTCGGCCTCAGTGCAGCGAAAGCAGAGGGCCTGAGGAGGAAGAGAGGCTTTGACATCTGGGATTACGGGCAAGATGTAACGGGTGTGAGAGCTTGTCCTGAAGGATTGCGCGACCATGCAAATACTATCCTTCAACAGTCAGAGTAAAGGATGTGACAGCATGTTGTGATGGCTGAGCTCAGTAGAAGTATAGCTTCCCGCGAGCTGGATTCATGAAGAGACTACACCAGGATGTTCAACCTATAGGGCGGGCATCGAATAAATTCGATGAGTATTCATCACACATGAGCTGTTGGCGCAGTTTGGAGAAATCAAAAAGTGACGCTCACAAACCTCTTCTGTAACTCCGTAGTGCGGCGGCTCTGCTCCTCCGGCGAAATAGTTGCTCCGCGCCCGTAACGAATTATGTGACTGTAAAAGACCTACAAGGTCGTGAAGGATTCTATACCTCTCCAAAAGTAGCGACTCTTTTCTTCAGGAGAATTATGTCATGCATCTGAACGGCATCTTATTCAGCTTGCAACCCATTTCCTCCTAACAGCCGCACGTTTCGAGCCCAACCTCCCCTCCAAATTCCCGAACCACGAGGACGACCTCACATCCGATGTGGTCCTGCCTAATTTGACCCTTAAGGCGATCTTGAAACCAGCGATGGGCCTCAATGAAAAGATGGAGCAAAGCTGAAGATAGAAAATAGGTCACAATAAGACTCAAATGGTGTTGTCTCTCCTGCTTGGTCTGAATTTCGCCATTGCTGCCACCTTCGATGAGCACTAGAGCATAGGTATTGAGAGGCGCATTTGCTCAGGGGACTATATGCGCTGTCAGGGCAGGCATACCACTTGTCCAGGCGCGAAAGCTATCGACATGCTAACGAGCAGGATTAACCTGGCTGAAGTGCCCGAGATGGCGACAAAGTACGGAATAGGGACGAGCCGGTGTCAAAGGATCAACAAAATTGCGGGGGTGGCTGCCTCTGTCGAGCTTATCAAAAGCCCCCTGGATCATTTTATACGAGCCTTAAAGTATCTCTCCAAGCCATCAACCATTTTAGCCGTGTCGCCAACTCGGATCTGGAAGACCCAACTCTATACCCGTACCTAGCTAGAACTTCGGAACCCTCAACCTCGACAAGAATTTGTCCAGAGTCGCAGCATGAGCTGCCACGGCTGAGTTCTTTGGTGACAAATATCCAATCCCCACCTCAAGCAGAAAATGTGCCTTGTCTGCTTGTCTCATCCACTCACGGCCCAGAACTCGGCATTAAGACTTTTTCCCTCGCACAAGATACAGTATAACTGTTAGGACTAGGGTACCGTCGAGAGTTAAGGGGCCACAGATTGAAGTATAATTGGAAAGGGCCTGGTTCAGGCGCCCAAGCACTCCACTATCGACAGGACTGATACACCATGCTAGGCTAGCGGTCTCAATGTCGCAGATACCGGTACGAGTATGGTTCCGGGGCGTCGACGGCAGGCGGGTAAGCAGGCTGATTTACGTGTCAATCGCCATCCTTTTGAATAGTAAAATCACCATCAGCTTCAGCGATCCCCGGCCACGATTGATGCGATATCAGGTGGATTACTTTGCCAGGAATGATGGCCTCCTCTATACCAACAGTGAAAAGCCGCAGACTATGGCCAAGCCCAATTTCGGGTTCTGAAAACAATACCAGGAGCTAGGCGCTGTTACACACACCGGCCCCAGACACGGGATGGGCTGTTTGGAAATATGGGGCGATGCACGTTTCAGAACGTCAAAATGGGCGCCTGCGTCCAAAGTCTTCCTTGTCAACTTCTCTACATCGTTCTTCTGTCATCGTTATCACTGTTGTTGCTATCGTGGTCGACGTCAACATCATGCTGGGCGCCATTGTTGCGCTCGGCCTCGTCGCCGCTCATGCGACTCAAGCGATCCTCATTCGCGACACCATTCTACAATGGTTCTGGCTTGCTAGTACGGAGTTACCCATTCCGTTGCCGTTGTGACAGATTATTGTGCTTGTGTACTGACTCTCACAGCGGTGGCTGATGACAACTACTTGTATATCACGGGAGGCGAATTTTATGAGCCGGAAGATGACGTGGTGACCATGTACTATCGTAAGAGACGATGGCTGCTCGAACATCTCGAAGAGTCCTTGTTCTGACCCCATTTATCTTCAGAGGGCAATACGCTTGTGGTCGACCTCAGACAATCCTGGACGAACCAGACAGTCGACGCTGTTACTTCAACCCCCGATCCAGATGGAATGATATATGTCCGACAGCCGATGGTTTTTTACGACAAGACCCGGAACAAAATAAGCCGCTATGGCGGATGGCCGTACGAAGTGTCGGATTTCCCATCTTTGCTATGGTCCTTCACCGCAGGATCATCCGGTGTTACATGGAAGAATGAGACGCCTCCCGCCACCGACGGCCTCGCAGCGAATTCGCCAGGCCCGTTCGCCTCGGCGAATGCCTACACTAATTCCACGTTCTACAACTTTGGTGGGAACGTCGTGAGCTCGTTACCCGACATGACGGTTCTGTCTGGCCTCGTCACTCGAGACTTTGAGGCTCAATCTTGGATGAATTCCACCGCCATTCTCCCCAATCAGAGCAGATATCGCACGCAGGCCCGCATGGTCCACGCCCCAACTTTTGGGAACCAAGGGTTTCTCGTCGTTGTCGGCGGGGAGGCCCCTCCTACGCAAGAATCTGTTTACGAAGCTGGCGCACATATGGTCGACATGTCCGTCATCACTCTGTATGACATTGAAACGGGGAACTGGTATACGCAAACTGCGACAGGAGCTATTCCACCTCCAAGGTCGGAATTCTGTGCCGTCGGTGCATCATCCCGGGGTGGTGCAAGATTTGAGCTGTAAGGACTGTTCTTTACACCAAGCTCCATGCTCTAGTTATGTTCGACTAACGACGACTCTCCTAGGTTTGTTTACGGTGGTTCAACAAACGCCACATTTGATTTGAATCACAGCTCCGACGAGGGCTATCTCAACGTCTACGCACTGTCCCTGCCGGCTTTCCGGTGGTTCAAGTCCAATTCGACAACTCCCGTGCGTCGAGCTTGCAACGCTTGCACGGTCATTGGGAACAGACAGATGGTGTCGATAGGTGGAAGATTACCCAGCTCTCTACAGGCATTCGGCAGCGAAAAGGATCCCTGGCCCAGCGGTCTGGGGGTTTTCGACATGACCGATTTTGAATGGGTCGACCATTACGACGCAGCAGCTGCCGCATACCAAACGCCCGATGTGATCAAACAGTACTACTCGGAACGTTACCAGGAGCCAGATTGGAGTGACGCGACATTGGCAAGCGTATTTGGTATGTCATTTCTATGCCTTCTTCGGGGACGTTGAAGTGCCTTTTTTTTTTCGCAAAGCCTTTTCTAATGAGCCGTTTCTCTCTAGCGTTCACGCCACCCGCAAGCTCATCATCCGACAATTCGACTTCCACGGACGGCTCTAGCAGTTCTTCGACCGAGCAAGCTTCACCGACGCCCCCGCCAGTCGTATCTACCAAGAGGACCAACACCGGCGCCATCGTTGGCGGAGTGGTTGGTGGCGTTGCACTCCTCGCGATCATCCTCGGCCTGTGGTACTGGATGGCAGTGCGACGCCGCCGACGAGCCCGGGCAGAATTCGCTGCCATGACGGACAAAGACGGGGACGGAAACACAGAAGTCGACTACAAGGACCAAAAGTACACGCCACCGATGGAAGCCGCGTCGACACCAATGTACGAAGCCGACGACAACTCCCGCTCGGAATTAAATGGGTTGCCGCCCAAACCGCAGCTGATAGCCGAGTTGCCTGTGAATGAGGAGCCGGTGAGAATCCCCGGCGCGGCCACGAGATGACACTTGCTTGCACTTTTGTACAAACACACCAAAAAAGGAACGGTTGACGATCAATACACCAAAACCGCTTTTCCCCCACAGCGTTGGCGTTTCGGAATGATTTGCAAGGGATTGTGTATTCCTACCAGCTTACTTACCTACCCACAACCCTCACGCAACCCATCTACCTATGTAGGTGTACCCATGTACCTACCAACAACATCTGGCGAGTGGGTAGCTAGAAGATGTATAGACCATAGGGGGCCAGGCACGGCTACAGGCCAGATTCTCACTTTTGAAAGGCATTTGCGTTATATTACATTGATATCAGTGCAACCCACCGAGTAAAGGTGTGAGATAATGCCCTTGAGCAGCGTTATATCACGTGCCCGAGTTGTACTGTACCTGCGAATGTAAAATGCTCACTGGTACCTCGTACTCGGGTACAGTGAGCGCGCGTGCTCCACCACGATCGTCTGTGATTCTCATTTAAAACCACTGTTTCCATGCTTTGTAGGTACATAGGTACATAGGTACATAGGTAGGTAGGCAGGTATGTCAGCCCCTACCAAGGCTAAGCTACCTAGGTAGCTCGTAAGGGAACATGACTTTCCGGTTTCACATTCCCTGTGGTCTGTTCGGCGACCAGCGATCAGCGATCAACGATCGGCAATCAGCTTCCTGGTTGTCTCATGTCAGGGGGTGGTTCTCGACATATCTCACACATGACATGCATTGCATACATTACAAGTACCGCAAGTAAAAGTACGAGTTCCAAGAGGTAGTTACTTGGTATCTACCTATCTATCCAGTACCTCGTGCAGGTGCAGTGAGACTTAGTGAGACTGTATACGTGTGTGTGTGTGTGTGAGCGCGAGACAGAGGGAGGGGTTTTGTGTGTGAGAAAGAGACAGTGTGTACCTCGTACTCGGCAGTCCACCTTCCCCCTTCCCGATGACCATACACATCACATCATGTCATTTCATGACACAGGGGCGTTCTCTTCCACAAGTTTCTCCCAAAGCACGATCGATCTGTTCTTCCGTCAGTGCCTCACTTTGTATTAGTTGTAGCAACGTTAATGACTTGTCACACGAAGCCATTAGAGGTCTTCGGTCGAAGGGCCACCGAGCAGCGACAGTACGCATCCTATAACTACTCGATAGAGTTCCAGACCTTGTAGAAGTCACCGTATTGCTCTGTTGGAAGAGTCACAAACACCACGCAGAGGTGGCTCAGTCGCAGAATATCCAAGAACAGCTATGAATTCTGCTCTTCCCTGGGGTGAGCACGACGGAAAAAGGTATACTTGTTCTATAATCAAACTCCATGAAATGCCCACCTAGAATCCAGCCTTCTCCAATCTCACATAACACATTCGGGGATGGCGGGCCAGCTTGTTCGTGGCCGCCCAACTGCTGACCTCAGCCGGGGTCTCCTTCAACTCAAAGTTCCAGATCATCATGACCAGGATGATCCGCATCTGGAGATATGCTAACCTGCGACCAAAGCACGCCCGAGGACCCAGGCCAAAAGCAAGATGTGGTCCCGCCTGGGAGTCAAAGACCTCTTGACCAACCTGCGAGTCGTGCACGAGCCAGCGCTCAGGTCGGAATGTCTTCATGTCTTCCTCGTCCTGTGTCCACTGGCCGACCTGGTTCTTGGCGGCTAAGCTGGAGGCACTGCGCTTTGAATCACTCACAGGGAGAGCGGGTGACAGATACCCGGGCCCGTTCTGCATGAGAAACACATCTGTGCCCTTGGGGATGCTGTAGCCTAGCAGTGTGGTGTCCGTGGTAGTTGTACGAATCGATCCATTAAAGAGCTGCGCTGTCCGAGACATCTCCTCAATGGTGGCATCCAGGTATGGGACCTGAATCTTGATGATCTCTTCCATGGTTGGGTTACGTTGCTCTGCTGTCGCTACAGCATACGCGGCCCGGAGACGGGAGCGGAGAGTGGTTTGGGCGGATTGAGCAGTGGAGAGGTATTTGACAGTCCATGTAAACGTTGTACTTGTCGTATCGTGACCACCAATGATAAACCCAAAAAGCTAACAGGTATGTCAGTGTGGTCTAGGCAGAGCTTGTAGATAAGCCACTCACCTCATCATAAATTGTGCGGGAATGGTACCTGGGTGGTCGGCCATCTTTCTTTGCAGCCGCCGTCTCTCGCTGTAGGATGTCATCGAGAGCCGATCTCTTGGCTTGATGTCCGGAAGATAATCTGTTCAGGGACTCATCAATCATGTCGGAGAAGAGCTTCTCCTTGTCGGCTCTGGCTTTCCGCATATAAGGCAGTTGGCGTAAGATCCAATGGGCGAAGCGAGGGAAAGGCGCTTTGACGGATACCTCTAGAGACTCTGTAAGCGTTGCGATCGCCTCAAAAGTTGCCGGGCGATGGAACTGAGGGAATGAGATTGGGTCGGTGAGGGCCTGTGGAAGATCAAATTTCTCAGCTCCCAAAAGTTGCTGCAACTGCGCGAACGTGTTGCTCTCTTGGATTTGCAGTCCAAAGGTGGTCGCGAAGATGACATCTAGCGCCACATTGTAGATGTCTTCACCAGCTTCAAAAGCATGCCCCTGTGCCACCTCCGTCTTTAAGTTCCAAAGTTTTATAAAGGTCTCTGTGTTGGCGTATATCTGTGGACCACCAACACCATGGAGAAAGGCAGGTGTCATGAGATCTTTCAAGAGGTTTCGGTGAAGTTTGAACCTATTCTCTGTCGATTTCATACTGATATGCATATCTGGCACCAGCCCCATGAAGACATCAGCTGTGAAATCAGATCGGTCGAACTCTTTCGTCCGTCGAAGGAGGATGTCAGAGCTCTCGCGGTGATCGGATACGATGACCCAAGGCCGGGCAAAGGGCCTTCCAAAAACTTGCACAACAGGCGATTGATGTTTGGTGATCTGTTCTGTGATCCACGGCCAGATTTCCTCAGTTTTGGCCATATAGCTCATCATCTCTGGTACGTCGCCAAGGAGAGATCGGGTTGCCGACTCATTGTATGGAATGCCAGGAATGGGCTTGGGAAGAAGCCTGCGATAGCCAGTATAAAGCAGGACGATACAGATAGCGACGGGTATGAAAAATGGAGCAGTCGCGGGTATTGTGTCAATGACACGGAGAGCTGATAGTCCTATCATGGCTGGGGAATGTGTTTGCCAAACGGACAGAGAAGATGAGGCAGTACATGCTATCTGACCACGTCGAGCAGGACCGTCCAACTTTATGTCCTCTGTATCTCCTGCGGACATTCCAGGGTGGACGATCCTCCGTCAGCTCTTACCATAGGACATCACCACGACATACCCGTAAAAGCAACATTTACCACTTGCGGGTATCGCGGCCGACTCATCAGGCTCTTTCTGTACACCCTTGGGCTGTCTGACATGGCAGTGTTGCCTGCGTGCAACCATGGTGATGAGTTCGTCCGGCGAATCATGGGAGCCCGGTGATAGGTAGCGGCGCTCTCGACCGAAAGCATGTCTTCGCCATCTCAATGTCATGTTCGACGTCGTAGGCTGTCAAGGCGAGCATATCGTGTCCAGATGCTGACACGAGCACTGGAAGGTGGGGTTTTCAGGCACTATAATAGGGGATCATGGTAGCGGTACCTCGAAGGGTCCGATGCCACTGGCCCTGAGCCAACAGAAAGAATCTCACCCCAACATAGATTGAACTTCGTTACTATTAGTACTCGGGACAAGAAAACCTCAACGGCATTATAGCACGTGCTCAACACCAACTGTAAAGAGGGGTTGAAAAAGGGGATGTTGCGTACTCGTATTATATGGGGATCATCATCGTTGTCCATCTGCCAAAGACAAAATAAACTGTGCCACTGGAGGGGGCACCAAAGGGGCTTGGTTTGATTGGACGGGCGGGTGGCTCTTCACCTGTCAAGGCGTGTTGCCGGTCGAGGGCCCAGCCCATTGGATCTTCACGAGTGGCTTTCTCGCTAAGGATGCGAAACCTCATGGCTCCAAGAAGGTCTAAGCCTGGATGGGGAGGTCAAGATTGATTTTCCCGGGGTCGCACTCCAGTCATGGTGTCATTGGAACTGCGGCGGCAGCGGCATCTGCTGGGATCAAGAAAGCCACCAAACTGCGCCCTCAGACAAACCACTCTCGTTCCAGGCAACACTGTTTCTTCTGATCCTTGGTCGGCACCACTGCTCTAGGAGGGTGCTTGTCTGGTCTCGCAACATGTCTTTCCTTTCGACACTGTACATATTGCCCATGGGTCGCCCGCTTCTCTTCGTGTGAATCTTGATTGCCTCCTCCATCCCTCCACGATTCCGCTGAACTCAGTGCGTGTCAATGGCAATGCTAGGCACGGAACATCAACTGTGCTGAGAAGACAAGCGCAATCGAGACCGAATATTCTCTCTCCGGCCAGGTTCTTGTGGTCGCATCATGGCTCTCTTTGTGCGCCAGGTCGTTACCTTGACTCTCAAGAATCTCCTGCTTGCTTTTGTCCGGCGCTGGTTCTCGACCTTAATCCGAGCGTTTCTTTTGCCTTGCGTCTTTGTCGGCTTCCTGTGCGTCAACCCTACTTCCATGCTCTGGCAAACCCTTCTAACCTCTCAGATCTTATGCTCGCTTTCTCTTTATTCCTCCCAGCGTCTATGGCATTGGTGACCCCACGCCGATTCGAAGTCTGTCCGAAGCGCTGGATCTGGTCTCTGGTGGCAGAGATAAACTTGTTTTCGTGAACAACGGGTTTACAGATGGTCCCATTCAATCAGTCATTGAGAAAGTCGTGAATGATACTGGGTCATTTGGTGGTCGCGTCGAGATATTGTCACAAGAGGAGGAGCTCTTGACTGTGTGTCGGAACTCGATCAGAGGAACTTCGTCATGCATAGCCGGCGCTGTCTTTTTCTCCTCACCCTCTGAAGGAGAGGCTGCTCGGTGGAATTACACTATCCGTGCAGATGGCGGACTTCAGTCCAAAATTGTGACTGACTCCTCCAAGAACGATGTCGAGATCTACTTGCTTCCCCTGCAGCACGCCATTGACCGTGCCATTTCGGAGGCTGAGGCCGGCACTAATGGAGCTACAGTTCTGCCTGATGCAGCAGAAGAATACCCTTACACTTCCCAGACCAAAAAGGAGCGGCTGAGACGCATCCGAACCCGATATATGGGAGGCATCATCGACATCCTAGCTGTGGCTTTCTTCATTGGGGTAGTAGGTGTTACGTACCAGCTTACTGGAGTCATCGCCTCAGAGAGAGAGAATGGAATGGCCCAGCTTCTTGATTGCATGATGCCCAATTTGAAGAGATGGCAACCACAGATGGCACGAATTATCGCTAACCACCTGGCATTTGACCTGCTCTACGGGCCGGGTTGGATCATCATGGCAATTATTCTCTGTGCAGGTGTCTTCAGCAATACTTCAGCTGGCATTGTCATCATCTTCAATATTCTGGCCGGACTGTCGATGTCATCCTTTTCAATTCTGGGAGCTGCGTTCTTTAAGAAAGCCCAGCTGAGTGGAATCACTTCTGTCATCGTAAGTCTTCTACTTGCCATCATCGCGCAGGTCGCCAGCAAGGCCGGCACAGCATCTGTCGCCATACTTTCTCTTCTTTTTCCACCTATGAATTACGTATACTTCATCATTTTCATGGCTCGCTGGGAAAGACAGGACCTTGCCACGAATCTGGTGAGACGGGCGCCGAATAACACATCCGCTTTACCCGGCATTGCTCTCTGGATCTTTTCGATAATTCAGATTTTTGTCTTCCCAATCCTTGGTGCTTATGTCGAACGTACGCTATATGGAACAGTGTCGCAAAGTCGAAAGACCACATATTCAGACGACACTGCCTCTATTTCATTGTCTGGGTTCACCAAGGAGTATCCGCCTTCGTGGTTGGCGAGAATTCGCGCATTCTTCACGAGGAAACAACTCACCACTGTACTCGCCGTTGACAATCTAACCTTAGATGCCACACGAGGCCATATAGTGGTGCTACTAGGCGCCAATGGAAGCGGGAAATCCACCACTTTGGACGCAATTGCTGGTCTCAGTTCCATCACCTCTGGTGATATAACCGTCAACTTTCCCGAGGCAAACACAGGTCTAGGGTTTTGTCCTCAGAAAAATGTGCTATGGGATGATCTGACCGTGGAGGAGCATGTTCGCATTTTCAACCGCATCAAGAGCCAGAAGCCCTCTTCGAAAGAAGACAACCTGCAACTTCTGGCCTCATGCGACATCGTTCGAAAGATGAGTGCCCGTTCAAAGACGTTGTCAGGAGGTCAGAAGCGCAAGTTACAGCTGGCTATGATGTTTACTGGCGGCTCGCGAGTATGTTGCGTGGACGAGGTGTCCTCGGGTCTTGATCCATTATCACGGCGGAAAATCTGGGATATTCTGCTTGCTGAACGTGGGTCGAGGTCGATCGTTCTCACCACACATTTCCTCGACGAAGCTGAGCTCCTTGCTGATCATATCGCTATCCTGTCGAAGGGCATTCTGAAGGCCTCAGGGACTTCGGTAGAGTTGAAACACAAACTCGGCTCTGGCTACCGAGTTCATATCTATCACACCCATGGGTCTCAGCAGCTTTCAGCGTACATGGATGTCAATCATGTGCGACGAGACGATCAAACGATTTATGCCTTGACAGACTCGGCAAAGACGGCAGACTTTCTACGTCGCATCGAAGGCGAGGGGGTCGTGGAGTACCAGGTCAATGGTCCCACCATCGAAGACGTCTTTCTGAAGGTGGCTGAGGAGGTGAGACGGTCGGAAGGACTGGCGGAAAAGGCGGGCTCCGATCCCATCCTCCAGGAGGTCGGTAGTCACAGCAGTACTGAGATTGACCCCGACAGCGCTTCCAAAACAATGATTAGAGACGAGTCTTCGGGAGAAACCCCTCAGCTTCTGGACGGACGTCGCATCAGCATGCCTCAACAAGCTCTCGTACTTTTCTCCAAACGATGGGTCGTACTCCGTCGGAACACTCTTCCCTATCTTGCGGCATTACTGATTCCAATCATTGCTGCTGGACTCGTCACTCTCTTCCTCGACAATTTTGAAAAGACGACCTGCAATCCGGCGTCATTAGCTCTGGTGTCCGATATTGAGTCGTTATCATCGCAGATTGATTACGATCTTGTGGCAGGACCACGAGATCGTCTGGGGCAAAATGCAATCCAACTTTTCGCTTCCACACTCGCCGGCAGCACGGGTGTTGCAGGAATTGCAGCAAATACAACAAAGCTGCTAGATTCTATCCATCTCGTCGATACCCTCGATGAATTCAACAACTACATCGAGACCAGGTTTGCCAATGTGACCCCTGGAGGTTTTTTCCTGGGAGACAAAACTTCACCGCCAACATTTGCCTGGCAGGGAAACGGAAACCTTGCATTTTCGGTCATTATACAGAATGCCATGGACACCTTGTTGACCAATATCTCCATTTCAAATCAATACCAAGCCTTTGACGTGCCTTGGGGTGCCGACGTTGGAAAAGCATTGCAATTGATCACGTATTTTGGGCTCGCCATGGCAGTCTACCCATCTTTCTTCGCCCTGTATCCAACAATTGAGCGGCTGCGCAACGTTCGAGGACTCCATTACAGCAACGGCGTCCGATCGGCACCTTTGTGGCTTGCATACACTTCGTTTGACTTCGTCATTGTCGTCCTTACCAGCTCGATCACTATTATCATCTTCCGGGCAGTGACTGATGTCTGGTATCACATTGAATACCTCTTTGTGGTGTTCTTTTTGTATGGCCTGGCTTCGACACTGTTGTCGTATGTCATCTCCCTCTTCTCGAGGTCGCAACTCGCAGCCTTTGCATTCGCGAGTGGTGGTCAGGCCGTGATGTTCTTGCTTTACTTTATTGCTTACATGTCGGTCCTCACCTATTCACCGATCGATAAGATAGACAGGAACGTCAATATCTGTCACTTCACAATCGCAGCCATCTCTCCCGTGGCCAACCTGACCCGCGCACTTTTTGTTACTCTTAACGTGTTTTCGATCACCTGCAGAGATCGAGAATTTGCTTCTTATGCTGGATCAATGACCACGTTTGGCGGTCCCATCTTGTATTTGATTTTGCAATCATTCTTGCTCTTTGCGCTACTATTGTGGTGGGATTCGGGTCCTCTGTTTCGACGGTTCGGGAAAAAACAACAGGAAGAAGAGGTGGAAGAGAGAGACACCATGGAAGCAGAAGTCTCCAACGAACTCACAAGGGTGTCATCGTCGCAAGACGGTCTTCGTGTTCTAAATCTCACCAAGCGATTTGGCAAAACGCTCGCCGTGAACAATGTCACATTTGGAGTGCCTCGTAGTGAAGTCTTTGCCCTCCTCGGGCCAAACGGAGCTGGAAAGTCGACGACAATCTCCCTGATACGAGGTGACATCCAGCCCAGCCGTCGAGGAGGCGATATTCTGGTCGACAATGTCTCGGTGATCCGACACCGGGCGCAGGCGCGCTCTCGACTTGGTGTCTGCCCTCAGTTCGACGCGATGGATACCATGACCGTCTCGGAGCACCTGCATTTCTATGCCAGAGTCCGAGGTGTGAGCGATCCCCGGCACAATGTCGAGGCGGTGATGCGAGCGGTTGGCCTCGAGCAGTATGCACATAGGATGGCGGCCAAATTGTCTGGTGGCAACAAGCGCAAGTTGTCCCTTGGGATCGCGCTCATGGGCAACCCAAGTGTCCTCCTGCTGGACGAGCCTTCTTCAGGCATGGATGCGGCGAGCAAGCGCGTCATGTGGAGGACGTTAGAATCGGTGGTTCCTGGTCGATCTCTGGTGCTCACGACTCATTCAATGGAGGAAGCAGACGCACTCGCAACACGAGCTGGTATCATGGCAGGCAAAATGTTGGCACTTGGGACAACTGACTATCTTCGCAGAAAACACGGCGACGCGTATTATGTCCACCTCGTACATAGCAGAGCCCCACACGCCTCCGATGAAGACATGCTGCGCATTCGAAACTGGATACAACGGAATTTCCCCAATGCGAATATCGAAAGTAAGGTATATGCAAGTCAGATCCGATTTTCGGTCCCACCCAAAACTTTGTACGCGAGCAAGGATGGCGAAATTAGTGTTGAATCTGGGATCGCGGCTCTATTCACTGCCCTAGAGACAAACAGGTCAGAGTTGCAGATTGAATACTACAGCGTCAGTCGCGCAACGTTGGATCAAGTTTTCCTCAATATCGTGGGCAAGCACAATGTTGAAGAAGAGGGCGGCGAAGGACCCCTTGCGCCACAGGCCAGTTTCGTCAAGGAGCTCTCCCGGCTGCGGTCTCGTCTGGCACATAAATGAAGAGGGTGGTTTTCTTGAGTTAGGTATACAAGAGGTATACGAGAACAAAACCAAACAGGCGGGAACCTCTCTCTCTCTATATCCTGGACTGCTGGAAAATGGGCGGCCCTTGTATGTCTGTCGTTTTGACGATGTCATTCCTATTGTTTGCACCGCATTGGGAAATTCGGCCGCTATACCCTTGTTACAGTTGGGCAACATCCGGCGGGAAAAACAGAAGCAGAAAATGGGATTTGTAATGGCCTACACTACTTGTTCGGTCCTTAGGCGGGTTTCAGCTCGCTAGACAGTGCAGATGGGCTATGGGGGGGTCGGATTCCGCACCAAACTTCGGCTCAACAAAAACTATGATATCCTCAGCCATCCCCTGGATCCCTCTGTGTGCGAGGGGAGAAGGAGAGGAGGTGGGGAGATACTTGTCTCGTATCTTGGCTCCGCAACGGATTTTGGCGATCGGCTTTTGGTTCAATCAACGTGTCAGCCTCGGCCACTCAGTCCATGAGTCAAGCAGCAGGGACTCGCTAAACTCCCGGACTGTTGCCGCCGATAACCCCCCAATAGCAATGCCTTGAATGCCCCTCGTTCAAGGACTTTGTGTAAAGACCTAGCCTCACCGTCTGCCTTTATCGAGAAGCTGGAAGCTCGTCTCCGTGAACAAGATTCAGCTGTTTCAGGCAATTGAGAACACCCCACTCCATTATGGGCTCTTCGAGATACCCGATATGGGTTCCCAAAACAGTGGAGGCAAGAGTCGTCGTTGACTGGTGCGTTCAGTCGGATGCCGCTCTGCCGGGCCATGCACGAAGCGCACCAACGCATGTCCCAAGTGGAGGCTAGCGGTCAGTGGCCACTGGCTAGAAGTCCGCCGATTTTCCAAAGTATTTTCCAATTCCTTTTCCGTGGATATTCTTTTTCAGACCATTGCATTTACGATTTGACCTACCGGTCGTGCCTGAGGACACTTGGAGCAGCTTTTGTCTTTGTTGGTTTTTTTTTTTGGTGATACCGTATTGCATTGGGTCTACCGGCAAGCTCTGAACCACTCAACCACACTTGACCGTTCATGTGGGGAAAGGAAGGATCATAGCCGAACAAAAAGACTTGGTAGGGACGGGCCCAAGCTCACAACACCATGGTCGACACCCTTTCAAAAGAATTGGGCCTGGGCCAACCGGCACAACAGCACGGTGCGACCACGGATCACGCTTCTCAAGGAGATACCCGTCAATATGACGAAAAGGAGCCTGGCGCAATTCGAGATAGAGAAACATTTGCTGTTGAAAAGCACTATGAAAGACCTCGGATATCAACCGACTCTTATGGTCTGCAACGCACCACCTCAGGTGTCAATGTTGAACAGGCGGAGAGGGATTTCGCCGAACTGAGCAGGGAACTGAGTGCGATCAGTCGTCGAGTCTCGCGGACACACTCGAAGGCTTCTCATGTCAGGGCAAGAGATGTGGAGAAGGCCATCAGTTCCTCTGATGAGACTTCGGACGATGTCTTTGACTTGGAGACCACGTTACGCGGTGCGAGAGAGGCGGACGATGCTGCAGGGATCAAGCCCAAATATATTGGTGAGTTCGGGACACCTAGATATCCCTCTTTCTTGGGACTTATCACAGTCAACAGGTGTGGTGTGGGAAAACCTCACTGTCCGCGGTATTGGTGGCGTCAAGAACTTTGTCAAGGTCTTCCCTGATGCCTTCGTCGATTTCTTCAACGTGCCGGGTACGATCATGAGCATTCTGGGGATGGGGAAGAAGGGTCGCGAGTTCAACATCTTACAAGGCTTTCGCGGCGTCGCGAAACCGGGTGAAATGGTACTTGTGCTGGGTCGACCCGGAAGTGGCTGTACGACCTTCCTCAAAGTGCTCGCCAACCAACGTTATGGCTATACAGGCATAGACGGCGAAGTTCTCTATGGTCCTTTTGATGCAGCTACCTTCGAGAAGCTCTACCGTGGCGAGGCGGTTTACAACCAGGAGGACGACGTACACCATCCCACCCTGACTGTTGGTCAAACACTAGGGTTTGCCCTTGACACGAAAACGCCAGGGAAGCGTCCCTTGGGTCTCAGCAAAGCCGAATTCAAGGACAGGGTTATCCGATTGTTGCTCAAAATGTTCAACATCGAGCACACCATCAACACCATCGTGGGCAACCCTTTCATGCGTGGTGTTTCTGGCGGAGAAAGAAAGAGAGTCTCGATCGCTGAAATGATGGTCACTCGAGCCACTGTCTGCTGTTGGGATAATAGCACCCGCGGACTCGATGCATCGACTGCCCTTGACTACGCCAAATCGCTCCGAATCATGACCAATATCTACCAAACCACCACTTTCGTTTCGCTGTACCAAGCATCTGAGAACATCTACAGCCAGTTTGACAAAGTCATGGTGATCGACAAAGGTAGACAAGTCTTCTTCGGTCCGGCAAAGGAGGCGAGGGCATATTTTGAAGGGCTGGGTTTCCTGGAAAAGCCTCGTCAGACGACACCCGACTACCTGACGGGGTGCACCGACGAGTATGAACGGGAATATAAGCCAGGGCGATCTCCTGAAAATGCACCTTCAACCGCCGACTCGTTCGTGGATGCGTTCAACCAATCCGTCTTCGCCGAAAGACTCGAGAAAGAGATGGCCGACTATCGAGAATCCATCCAGCACGAAAAGCAGGTGTACGATGATTTCGTGGCAGCACATCGCGAAGCCAAACGAAAACATACACCCAAGAACTCGGTGTATTCGGTGCCGTTCCACTTGCAAATCTGGGCCTTGATGCGACGACAATTTCTGATCAAATGGCAAGATAAGTTCTCTCTGGTGGTTTCGTGGATCACATCTATTACCATCGCCATCATCGTCGGTACGGTCTGGTTGCATCAACCCAAAACTTCCGCGGGAGCGTTTACTCGAGGTGGTGTGCTCTTCATGGCTTTGCTCTTCAACGCTTTTCAGGCATTTTCGGAACTGGCATCTACTATGCTGGGTCGACCGATTGTGAACAAGCATCGAGCATACACTTTCCACCGACCCAGCGCGTTGTGGATTGCACAGATTGTCGTCGACCTGGCCTTTGCGTCTGTCCAGATCTTCGTCTTCAGTGTCATCGTCTACTTTATGACAGGCTTAGTCCGGACTCCCGGGGCATTCTTTACGTTCGTGCTTATCATTATCACGGGCTATCTCTCCATGACTCTGTTCTTCCGTACCATTGGCTGTCTGTGTCCGGATTTTGACTACGCCATCAAGTTCGCCGCCGTTATCATCACCTTGTTCGTCATCACATCTGGCTACATCATTCAGTATCAAAGCCAGCAAGTGTGGATGCGATGGATATTTTACGTCAACACCCTCGGTCTTGGCTTCGCAGCAATGATGATGAATGAGTTCATGAGGCTGACAATGCGCTGTACCGCTGAGTCGTTAATCCCATCGGGTCCTGGGTACAACAACATTGACCACCAGGTCTGCACCCTTCCAGGTTCTCAAGCGGGAGAGGTCGAAGTGTCAGGGGATGCCTATGTTAAACAGGGCTTTTCTTACGACCCGGCCGATCTCTGGCGTAACTTTGGTATCATCGTCGTTTTAATTGCATTCTTCCTTTTCACCAATGTCATATTAGGAGAAACGGTCAAATACGGCGCCGGCGGTCGCACGGTCACCTACTTCACCAAGGAAAACGACGAAAGGAAAGCCTTGAACGAGAAATTGCAGGAACGAAAACGAAGACGGCAGACGAAACAGGATGCCGGGGACAGCTCAGAGCTCAATATCACTTCCAAGTCTGTGCTGACGTGGGAGAATCTCACGTACGATGTACCTACTCCTGCTGGGCAATTGCGGCTGCTTAAGGATATCTTCGGATACGTGCGTCCAGGGCAGTTGACCGCTTTGATGGGCGCGAGTGGAGCCGGTAAAACGACGTTGCTTGATGTCCTTGCCTCTCGAAAGAATATCGGTGTGATCGGTGGTGACATCTTGGTTGACGGTCAAAAGCCAGGCGTTGGGTTTCAGAGAGGGACTTCGTACGCGGAGCAGCTCGATGTTCACGAATCGACTCAAACAGTCCGAGAAGCTCTCCGGTTCAGCGCCGATCTTCGCCAGCCGTACGAAGTGCCCAGAGAACAAAAGTACGCGTACGTGGAAGAAGTCCTTTGCCTACTCGAACTCGAAAACCTTGCCGATGCCATTATCGGCAGCCCCGAAAGCGGACTGTCGGTCGAAGAGCGGAAGAGGGTGACCATTGGCGTTGAACTTGCCGCAAAGCCTCAATTGCTCCTCTTCCTCGATGAGCCCACGTCGGGTCTTGATTCACAATCCGCGTTCAATATTGTCCGCTTCCTCCGCAAACTCTCTGCCTCTGGACAAGCCATTCTCTGTACCATCCATCAACCCAACAGTGCCCTTTTTGAGAACTTTGACCGGCTGCTCCTGTTGCAACGAGGTGGAGAGACTGTCTATTTCGGAGACATAGGCAAAGACGCACACGTCCTTTTGGGCTACTTCCACAAATACGGCGCCGACTGCCCTCCAAATGCTAACCCAGCCGAGTGGATGCTGGACGCCATCGGAGCTGGCATTGCAGCTCGCATTGGAGACAGGGACTGGGGGGATATTTGGCGCGAAAGTGACGAACTCGCGACTGTCAAGGCCGAGATTATCGACATGAAAGCGAAACGTCAGCGCGAAGTTGCTGGCGAGCCCAAGCTGGATGAGAGAGAGTACGCCTCCCCTCTGTGGCATCAGATCAAAGTCGTGTCCAATCGGACCCATTTGGCCTTCTGGCGTTCCCCCAACTATGGTTTTACGAGGCTGTTCAACCATGTGGCTATCGCTCTGCTTTCAGGTCTGGCGTTCTTGCAGCTCGACGACAGCCGATCAAGCTTACAATACCGCGTCTTCGTCATCTTTCAAGTCACCATCATTCCAGCCCTGATATTGGCACAGGTGGAGCCCATGTACGACCTTTCCCGGCTCATCTTCTATCGAGAATCC